CTAGGCTTCATCTTACAATCTTCAGTACTTGATAGGTCTTTTTGAAATCACATGACTTTCAATTGACAACCATGTATCCATATTTGATTATTGATTTTGTTTTAGTTACCTGTTCACTTAAGTATGCTTTGCTTTTTTTAAATTAAGCAGATTTTTATCTATTATATCACTCTTCCAGATTCTATAGCCTGTTTTACTTTAAGAATGTTCATCAATTTTCCACCTTATTAAAAATAAATCAGTCTGAGTGTTTCTTCTACACAATAGAACTTAAAATGTTAATATAATTTCAGGTATTTTTGACATAAATATGTTGAAATAGAGCTCAAGTCAGTTGAAGTTTTAAGTTCTACTTGAAACATATTATTAGAAAACTTGCATTATTTTTCCAATTATATTGAGATATAACTGACAAGAGCCATGTTGTTTTTTGATTCATGGATATATTATCAAATGATTTCTCTATTGAAAATCAAAATAATTTTCATATCTATCAATTATACGATACAATATAATTATCCTTGGTGACCATTCAAAGTAGTAAATGTCAGGAACAGAAAGATAAATACTACATGATCTTGTCTGTGGAATTAAAAAGGTAAAACTTATAGAAGCAGAAAGGAGAATGGTGGCTACTCTGGATCGTGTGTGTGTGTGTGTGTGTGTGTGTGTGTGTGTGTGTGTGTGTGTGTGTGTGTGTGTGTGTGTGTGTATTGGAGGAGTAGAAGTGGAATTAGAAAGATGCTAGGCAAAGGAACTTGGTGTTATTTATCTTTTATACTGACATTGTCATTTTTTCTTTTTTCATTTTCATTTATCCCACCCATTGACATTTAAACATGTTCAAATCTCTTTAATTTTAAAAATCTTATTCAAATCAAAATATTTCTTACTGGCCTTGATCATCAGCATTCTGTCTTTTGATTATTTTTTTACTTATGTGCTCAGATATACTTTCCCCTAATGCTTCCCTTTTAATATGACTTCTAAGTCCTTAATTAACTTCTGTTAACCAAGGAATACTCCATTCTCACACTCAGCCAAAACTGAGTCCTTATTATTTGTAGAGTATTTTGTTTGTTTGTTTTGGAAAACAGTAAGTGGAATTTTTACTTCATTGAACTAGAATACCTTCCTGGGTTCCTAAGTTTCCAGGTGTTCTTCCTTCTTTGTTTACCCTCTTTTGTCTGATTAGTAAACTTCATTTCTATGCCATGCCAACCACTGAAACTCAATATCCAACAAAACTTAATCCTAAAGTCCATGTTCTCCTGTACAATTTTTCTCTGCCTTCTATTCTTCTATTGTTTTTGGCAAGTTTATCAAAGGATGATTCTAAAATCCTACTTTATTAGCTTTGACTAGTATACTGAATTTAACACCAACATCTTATTCCACATGACAAATCTTTTTGTGAGTTCCTAAAGCACAACTAATCTACTAAGTAGAGCTTTCTACCCTAAACTAGCCTTTTTTATTTTTTATTTTGTATTTGTTAGTGGAACTCAAGTTTAAACCACAGACTCATTAAATAATTCTAAACCTTCTTGACTCTTCGGTGTTCCAAAAAAATACTGACCTACTCTAAGTAAACAAATGTCTTTATTTTCCACATTCCACATTGATATTGGTAAAGAAACATTTATTCCAACAACATGGGAGAGAAAGAATACTGATGAAACTCAAAAAAAAATTGGGCTGTAGTAAGATTTTTTGGAGAGGGACAGGTTTAAAAGTATATTTTAGAGTATAGTTTAGCTGTATATTTTAGAGTATATTTTAGCTGGGCATTATTGGTTTACACCTATATTCCTAAGCTCATCAGTAGGTCGACATTGTGATTCAAGGCCAGCCTATGCAGTAAAACCTGTGAGGCCTTCATCTCCCATAAACTACCCAGAAGCCAGAAATAAAGTTATGGCTCAAGGGGCAAAATGCTCAGGGACAGTGCTGAAGCCCTGAGTTCAAGCCTCACAACTCCCCCACCACACCCCCAAAATTAGAATATGTTGTTTGTACATGATAATGGATTACAATGTCTCTCTCTCTCTCCTCTCTCTCTTTCTCTCTCTCTCTCTCCTCTCTCTCTCTTTCTCTCTCTCCTCTCTCTCTCTCTCTCTCTCTTCCCACCATTTCTGCACCTTTATTTGAAGCCAAAAGAAAGCTGCAAAAGGAAAGTAGGGGGTTAAACTCTCTTCTCAGAAGAGAGCTGCCCCCCACTGCATTGTTGGTGGGAGTGTAAACTTGTTCAACCACTTTAGAAAGCAGTATGGAGGTTCCTCAAAAGAGTCTACATAGAGCTCCCGTATGACCCAGCAATCCTACTTTTGGGCATTTAGCCAAATGATCACAAACAAGACCATACAAAAGCTACCAGCACAACTATGTTTATCACAGCATTATTTACCATAGTTAAGATATGGAACCAACCCAGATGCCCCTCAGTAGATGAATGGATCAAAAAAATATGGTATATATACACAATGGAATTCTATGCCTCCTCAGAAAGAATGACATTGCCCCATTTGTTAGGAAATGGAAGGACTTGGAAAGAATTATATTAAGTGAAGTAAACTAGGTCCAAAGAAACATAGATCCCATAGTTTCCCTTATTTGCAATAATTAGTATATGTCTGGGACAAGTAGAAAGGTCAAAAGCTATGTACATATGACCAAATAAAATGAAGTTAAGCGAAATGAACCCCAAGATAGGGACTCAAGTGTTTTTCTCTTTCTTGCTATTTTTTAAATATATTTATAAAGTACCATGTGATTTTTTTGTTTCTTTGTATGTCCCTCCCCCATGGTATAATCCCTGTTTTCACTGTATTTGATGTTGGTATAATTTGGGGAGGGGAACAGAAAAAACAAAATGTTTAAACAGGGATACAGGTTGACCAATTGCAAACATGAAATGTACAAGACATTATGTTGAAAAACGAATTTTACAGTTTAGGTGGGGGGGAGTGTAGTTGTGGGAGGGAAAGAGGGATGTTAGGGGAAAAACAAAGGAAGAGGCAATAATGCTTGCCAAGAAATGTACTCAATTCCTTGCTCATGTAACTGTCACCTCTCTGTACAGTATTTTCACAATAAAAAACATTAAGAAAAAAATCCAGCCTGGGCAAAAAAAAAGAAGAAGGAGAAAGAGAAGGAGAAGGAGAAGGAGAAGAAGAAGAAGAAGAAGAAGAAGAAGAAGAAGAAGAAGAAGAAGAAGAAGAAGAAGAAGAAGAGGAAGAGGAAGAGGAAGAGGAAGAGGAAGAGGAAGAGGAAGAGGAAGAAGAAGAAGAAGAAGAAGAAGAAGAAGAAGAAGAAGAAGAAGAAAAGAAAGAAGAAGAAGAAAGAAGAAGGAGGAGGAGGAGGAGGAGGAGGAGGAGAATGAGGGCCCCAAGGAGGAGTCTCTTTACTTTCTTCTAAAAAAATAATTAAAATGTAAAAATAACTTATTGCTATTTGGGGCATTTCCCAACACTATCTCATTTGATGTTCAAAATGACCCTGTAAGTTCAGCAAATATCTTTGACTGCTGTTTAAACTCAAATTTAACAGCTTATGTGGTTGACATGAGAATATATATTGAATTAATAATTGGGCTAGAATTTTTATTTTTACTTCTCTTTCTGTAACCCTCTCTTCCAAATTCATTTATATGTTACTCAAGCAAATATTATCAATTATTTATCAATGGTGAGAGTTATAGAGAAAATATACCTTAACATTCTTCTTCAGACTAAGAATTCGCTTCAAATGGTTTTTACAATTACTCTGTTAATCATCTTCAAATGCTAAAATTTGGATGATATTCATGGTATACAGAATTGTCTAAACTGTGAGTCACAGCTTTAGAAATAATAGAAGTAAGAGAATTGTCTAAAAATGTCAAAGATTAGGTCTCCTTTTCATGTTTGAAAGGGAATTGTTATGAGGGAGATTATTTAATAGGCCTGAATTTCAGAAAATTTGCTTGTATATGAAATTGCTGGAATCACACAAATATGATTAGACTTTGTCCAGGATAGATCCAGTGGAAGAAAAGCTTACTGTATTTATTTCATCTAACACAGAACTCAGCATAATACAAGCCATCCTTAAAATTGTAAAACACCACTTTCTGATATCCTTTATCTAAATATGGAGTTCTAGATAACAAGCTAAAAATATGCATACACAAAGTTAATGGTCTAAGTCAGTAATATCTCTCATCTCTTTTCTGCATAGTTACATTTTAATGCCATAATTGGGAAATACAAACAAGTACTTACACAGTTAGAAATTGTAACCACACAACAAAACCAGTGAAGAAATCATAGAAAAAGCTTTGAGTAAAATGACTTCCAATTTTTCACTGCTGTGGTATGTCTACCAGATAAGCATTAATTCTTTAAATTTCGTATTCATGACTTTTGTATTTATTATGAGAAAACAATTGGGGTGACTTTTCTAACTAATGCTACTATGTAATTGTATGAATAATGGAAACATACTTTCTTCATTTGTATCATTATTATTTCTAATGAATTATCCTCATGTCTTCAACCTATACCTTTGTGTATTCTTGGACACAAATACAACATCTAGGTAGTAGTCAACCAAATTTATGAAAACAAGTGAAAATGTCAATAGTCTGATGGGATCAGTGTATGCCCAGTATCTTTGTCTTCTATATTTAGTATTACAGTGATGTTGAAAAATGACCCACACAGAATACACATGTAAGATACAGGCACAGAAGTTAATTGTGATGCTTTTATTACTTTCTGTAATTTAATAGTTTTAACTTTTTTTAGAAGACCCTTTTAATATCTTTACTAAAAAATTAATATCACACCAGGAAATACAAGAAAGAATTACTGAGAGGAACTTGATAAATTTGACATTATTTCCTGTAGGTATTTTTTAAAATTATTTGTCAACTAACTATAGGACGGTGGGAGAGAATTAAAGGAAGTGAGTTGACAGCTAAGATCATGATCACTAAAATATGTATTTTTTTCCTTCAGAAATCAAAAATCTCCACATATGACAAAATGTGGGCCTTTATGAGTAGCAGGAGACAGTCTGTGCTGGTGAAGAGCAATGAAGAAGGGATCCAACGAGTCCTCACCTCAGACTACGCGTTCCTCATGGAGTCTACAACCATAGAGTTTGTCACCCAGAGGAACTGTAACCTGACGCAGATCGGTGGTCTGATAGACTCCAAAGGCTATGGTGTTGGCACTCCCATGGGTAGGTTATATGTCAGATTTTTCTTCTTTGATCATTAATCTGAGTTATGATGACCAACAAGAAAAGAAAAGAAAAGAAAAAAGAGTAAAAAATTTACAGTTATTTGGTGGATCTTATCATTGTTTTTCTTTTTGTTCTTTTTTTTAAACTGTGAATGAATAGCTTAAGAATATTCATGTTTTTTAGTGTATAAACAAAAAAAAATAGTTACTAACAAATAATAATAGGATACATTTGTTATATAGCTCTTGAAATGACATTAGCTCCTTAAAGCTTTTCTGGGCCCAATTTTATGTTCATTAAGTTATACAATTATATTTTTGCAATAAGTTTGTTTGTTTGCCTGTTTGGTGCCAGTCCCGGGACTTGAACTCATGGCCTGGGTGCTATCACTGAGCTTTTTTTGCTTACATCTAGTGCTTTTCCATTTGAACCACAGCACTACTTCTGTTTTTTTTTTTTCTAGTTTATTGGAGATAAATAGTCTGAAGGATTTTCCTACCTAGGGCTGGTTATGAACCATGATCCTCAGGTCTTAGCCTTCTGAGTAGCAAGGATTACAGGAATGAGCTATCGATTCACAGTTGAATAATTTATTTTTTTTAGATTTGGTTATTAGTGCAAAGGTTAAATAAAAGAAGCCACAGATGTTTCCTTTGAATATTGTTGCAATTATTTCAATTGAGATTAAAAAGGAACAAACAGGTAATTGTGCGGTAATATTTAGAATAGTTAGAATATTTGGCACTCAGGGTTAATTGACTTTATCATGGTCTCCACACAACTACAGGTGGCAAAGTTATTTTCATTCATAATATTAAGATGGAATAAAACAATATTTTTCAAGCTAAGCAGGATGGCACATGCATGTAGATCTAATTACTCATGAGAATAAAGTAGGAGGAATATTTTTGTGACTAACTCAAGACTAGGAAAAACTTTTTTAAACAAAAATTTTCAGAAAACATATGAAGAAAACATATATGATTACACATTTGCAATATATGAATATTATACAAATAATATACATATGCATATATAACATATGTATGCATAGTATAAATATGTATTGCCATTAATACAAGATATTGTACACTTCTGTACTTGTGACAGAATAATGATTTCCCAAAGAGATCATATTCTAATTCTTAAACTTTATGAACATATTATCTCAAATAGCAGATATCAATAAATTAACCATCTATAGAATGAGGGATTTACCTGATTAAGAGATTTTAAGAGACTAGAATTGCAAATAAGATATTTAATAGAATAGAGAGGAAGAAAGAGAAAGGAAGGAGAGGAGTAGGAAGAGGAGGGAAGGACAGGATGGGGATACGGAGGAGAAAGATTAGAAGAGAAGAATAGAATGTAAGGGTAAGGAAAAGATAAAAACCTACTTGCTGGTGTTAAGATTAAGGAAGAGCTACAGATTGAGAAATACTAGGGACTTAGAGTACATGTAAAAGTCAAAGAAAATTATCCTAGACATCTTTTAGTTATTACAAATGAGGGAGACCATGCAGCCTAAGTTTCTTTGTGTCTGGCTTTCTTTGCTTAATGTAATCTTTTTCAAGTCTTTCCATTTCCTTACAAATGGGACAATGCCATTCTTTCTGATAGAAGCATAGATTTCCATATATACCACATTTTCTTTTTAATTTATATTTATTTTATTGTAAAGATGATGTACAGAGGGTTTAGTTACATAAGTAAGGTAATGAGTACATTTCTTGTCAAACAATGTTACCCCCTCCTTCATTTTCCCACATTCCCTCCACCCTCCCCAATTTGCAAAGTTCCCTATGGTATTCTTAGCAGAGGATCACAATAGCTCAATAGCTATGTGCATATATGAGCCTACGTAATGATGCTTATTGAAATGAAGTCCGAGAATTGGAAACAAGAGGTTTTCCTAGTGTATTGTTTGCAATTCTTTCTTTCTCGTGCCCCCTAATTTGGTTTATTCCCTATTGTCACTGTTTTTGATTTCTGTAACCTTTGTCTTATGTATAAGTTTGTCTGATTTGGGGAAGAAGGGAAGGGGAAATCAAAGAAATGTTGGGACAAAGGGTGAACTAATGCAACAGTGATACTCACTAGACACTATGTTGGAAATGAACTTTACAACTTGTTGGGGAGGAGAGTGGGGAAATGGGAGAAAATGAGGGAGGGGGTAACACTGTTCAAAAAGAAATGTATTATTACTTATGTAACTGGTACTCCTTTGTACATCACCTTTACAATAAAAATTTAAAAATAAGTTAAAAAAGAATGTCAAGGATAAATTTTTAGAAGCCATAGAAAGAGCACAGCTCAACAAGAATATCAAAGGTAGTAATTTTGGTATCGATACTGTGAGATGATAAAACTAGGTATTGTGGCTAAGAACTTAGTTCATAGCAATTGGTTATAGCAGCAACAGGAAATTCATTTTATAGCATGAGAAAATAACTAACATATTTTAATTTGAACAACATATCTTTTAAGAAGAGAAGAAAGCACTCATTAGCTATTATTCATCATAGTAAATAATTTTTAATGACTTATTCAAAATAGATCATATGATCATGTTTAAATTGTTAAACTACAATTATCAATATGTTTCCCTGATAATTTAATTTTACTTTTGAAAATTTTTTCTCAGATGAACAAAAGTTATACAGAATTAGAAAGTTGGAAACACTATTACAAAAGGATCATTTCTTAAAAATTACAAAATGTAAAATTCTATTCATATCTTTGACTTTTCATGTCATTTCCAGAAACTTTCAAAAATAAAATTCATATTGTATTCTATTATTATTGGTAACATCATCTAAAATTCATTATGATTCAAAGTAACCTGGAATGGTATTGAGAAAATTTGAAGATGCTAATTTGTAAAATACAGCACATTTCAACATTTATATTGTAGATTTTAAAATATTTGAAATCATTGTAGAAGTACAAGAAATTTGAAAAGACCTGTGTTTTTAGCACAAAAATGTACAAGTATAAGCCAGCCCACATATATTTGGGATCTACTATGTTTTGCATTTTTTTTTCAAATTAATTTCCAAGTAGCATATGATGTTTGTAAGAGAATAAAAATGAACACTTAAAGTTAATAAAAAGCAAAAAATGATTTGTTAGAACTTTTTTTCTACTAAAAGGTATTTTGAAGCAGGAATATTCTGTCTCTAATTATATTAGACTTGACAGTACATTGTGATAATTGATGCTATTACTGTTCTTAAATCCTCCACAAAACGTGCAACCTTTAATCCTGCACCAATGAGCATCCTGGTAACTGGGCCTTTTTAATCCATGTCATGTATAAATTCAAAAAAAAGCTTCACAATTAATTTTAAGTATGATATGATAAATACACGAAAAATATCTTTCAAAATGTGTAATATTATTCCTATATTCTCACAAGTCTCAAATTTGCAGTTCTACTTGTTTATTAATGGAGTGTTCAAACCATCACATTCTCCAGAGGTGGATCAGGTATGGTCCTTTGTCTTAGTAAGAATTAAATTCTGACATTTTAGCTGTTTCACCTATTATTAAAAATTTGGAGTGTACAACTTATTCCTGCTATTTCACCCTCCTAAGTACTGCTGTACACCACTGTACTTGGTTAAGTCCCTTTCTGCTAAAATTATAAAATAGGCTTATACTACCAGAACACTCTTTAAATAGTAAACTTGGAGTAGTTTGCCAAATAATGCGTGAGATAGATTCCAAGATTTTATCTATATAGTCCAACAAATTACATGGAGAAATGTGCTCAGACCTGCTTAGAGTTAGGAGGGATAGAAGCAGGAACTTTCCAGGCTCTCATTCCCTCATTCTCTTATTTGCGAAGAGCTGGAAGAAAATGTGTTCACTTATCAATGCTGATGTTGAAAGGAGTGACTCTTATGTATGGCTCCTGGCATCCTCTGCTGGTTTGTGTTGTCTGGATGATGACAGAGATTACAGTACATTTTGTGTTATTACCATTATGGTTAATACACAATGTATCTGTTCTCTGTGGGGCCTTAATTATTATTTATACTAAAAAATAAATTTTCCATCTGGAGATATGATAGTGCAACAAGATTTATAAATAAGAAAATAAATCACTTCTAGAACTACACATAAGGATGGCATATTACATTATTAAATGTGATGACTTCATTAGGTAAATAAAATGAGTATTATTGTTTATTTGAATTATATAAGAATCCAAAAATGAGAAACTAAGTTCAGTAAGTAGTAAATCTTATTTGGAAAGTATGTGTGTAAACTTTAGTTCATATAGCAGACGTTATTTATTATTGAGAGTTACACAAGAGCACTCATCAACATTTCTCAGGAGTTTTTACTTACACCTTAATATAAACTATAATTGAGTTTCTTATTTGTTCTCTTATTTTGTCACTATATTCTGCCCACATTCTGACTCTTTTAATCATACTGTCTTGCTCTAAGAGAAGATTGGCTAAAAATTAACCAGTAATGTATTTTACAAATCTCAAAAGGTAACAGGAAGATTTCAGTTCTGAGGACCATTTTCAAATGAAAGACTGTTCTGAGTTCTTTGTAATCATTTGTCAAAATCAAGCAATCAGCAATTTTTGATCTCTCCTTATCCCTAATACCATTAAAGGCTATAACTTAATTTATCTATTTTACTTATTTTACCAATGAAATAATACATCCTGCAGCTAAGATTCCTGGCCAGAGGCTTGACTCTTGAGATTCTAACATCTCAGTTATAGCCATTGCCCCATGAGGCCAAATAAAGAGACAGGCAGCGGTGAAGGGAAAGAAACCAATTCTTAGTATGTGGCTATGCATGTGACAGGAAGTGACAAGGCAAGCGTTTGTGCTCATTTTTAGGGTACAAAATTGAGCTTTATGTTTAAATAGAGGAAGAATTGGTGCAGGGAAGAGAGACATGCTGAAGTAGAGTTCCAGGCAAAGTGTGATTCCAACAAAACTGTTATTAATAGCATCACTTCAGAAAA